AGGAGGTGGAGGAGGAGGCGGAGGAGGAGGAGGAAGAAAAATAAGAAGACGGAGCATAACATTAACACTGATGATGCTGATCATAGAAAATAGGATCATAATATTACGAATGCTATAACTATTGAGTCACACTATTACGAATGATATAACAAGTACAATGACACACTTACTTGTGATACTACTAATACGAATGACACTAGTCATACCAATATTCAGCATGAGCTGGATACTATTAAAATTAGTATCAGTAGCTTGAAATATAAGAGCAATGCGACGCATGCCAGTCATATGCTTATACATAACCACATTAGGATACCAATGCTAAGACTAAGGCTAAGGGCATAAACTACCAATGCCACTAACACTATGGATACAAATACGAATAATAATAATACTCCTAATAATACCAATAATTCGAATACTAAGAAGAATACGAATAATAAGAGGAGGGGGAGTAGGAGGAGTAGGAGGAGGAGGAGGAGCAGGAGTTGGAGGAGGAGTAGGAGGAGTGGGTCGCTGGGCATGCCGAGGACCTGGAGCAGCCGCTGCTCGGCAAGGCGGGGGAGGCCGGAACCAGCGAGGCCCAGCTGAAGCTGCAGCGCGCGGTCTACTTCGCGCTCTTCTTCATGTTCGTCGAGATTGTTGGAGGCCTGCTGTCGGGGGCGGACAGACCTCCTACCCTGACACGTCGGTTGACGAATTGGCCGTTTTCGGTTCGCGAGAGGGCGCCGCGGCCATCGTTTTGCAGGTCCAGGTCCGTCGGTTTCGGCCCCAGGCCGTTTTCACTAAAGGATGGTCTGCTACAGGGAGGTTTGTCCACCGCCGATGCTGTCCTACCCTTCCTGGTAGGGCGTCGGGTTGCGCACCGACAGCCTCCCCAGGCAGCCCCGGCGGGCCTCAACAGGTCCCCCGAGTAGTCTGGGGCGGTCTCAACTCCCAGGCGCCGCCCCTTGACGCCCCTGGAGCACTCCGCGTCCCAGGGTTGAGGTGCTGAGACCGCCCTGGACTGCTCGGGTGGCTTGTTGAGGCCAGCCGGGGCGAATGGGAGCAGACGACTCAAAAGAATTTCCCCCCCTTTCCAGGGGCCTCGAAAAACATGAGTTGGGAGACCTAAAATCCAGCCGCCAGAACTGATTTTTTAATCGTCTGCCCCCCCAGCAGTTATCTGCCGTCGTCGTCATCGTCGTCGTCGTCGTCGTCGTCCGTCGACGTCGTCGTCATCGTCGTCGTCGTCGTCGTCGTCGTCCGTCGACGTCGCCGACGTCGTCGTTGTCGTCGTCGTCCGTCGTCGTCGTCGTCGTCGTCGTCGTCGTCGTCGTCGTCGTCGTCGTCGTTCGTCGACGTCGCCGACGTCGTCGTTGTCCTCGTCGTCGTCATCGTCATCGCCGTCGTCGTCGTTCGACGTCGACTACAGCGGGCTTGCGTAGCACACACACACACCATAGGGCATCCGCAGTGCGCCGTTGTCGTCGTCGTCGTCGCGTCGTCGTCGTCGTCGTCGTCGTCGTCGTCGTCGTCGTCGTCGTCGTCGTCGTCGTCGTCGGTCATCCTCGTCCTCGTCGTCGTCGTCGTCGTCATCCGTCTTCGTCGTCATCCGTCCTCCTGGCCGGCGCAAGCGCACTCGCGGACGACCGCGGCGATTGGGAGGAGGAGGAGGAGGAGGAGGAGGAGGAGGAGGAGGAGGAGGAGGAGGAGGAGGAGGGGGAGGAGGAGGAGAGGAGCAGGAGGAGGAGGAGAAGGAGGAGGGGAGGAGGAGGAGGAGGAGGAGAGGAGGAGGGGGAGGAGGAGGAGGAGGGGGGGAGGAGGAAGAGGGGGAGGGGGAGGGGGAGGAGGAGATCAAAACATCTTGTGTTTCAAGGGTATGGTTCGCAAAAACTTCTGGCGGCGCCGCGGGCCTCTCCCCGGCCCCCCGGGCAGCCCTGGATTGTCCGCCCTCCGCGGGCCTGCCCCCGCCCTCCCCTGTCGTGGGGGCAACCAGGCCAGCGACACTGCGTTTCAATCGTCTGCCCCAGCATTCGTTTTTGGTTCTCGCGTTCTCCCCTTACACATTTCAGTGCTTCGAAATGTCGTTGACTTTTGGGGGGGCCAAGATCCTCTCATCTCTAATTGCTCTATCCTGGGTCTCTTCCTGGCCAGTAGGGGGCCGGGGAGAATGAGAAACGAGCACACTTAGAAATGAGCACGATTAGAAATGAACGACGCGTACCTGTGGGGGGCGGTCTGTGTGAATCCCGAAGCCTCACCAGCCCCACAGTTTCCCCCGCTGCAGGCTGGGGGCGGCTGACCTGTGGTGGCGCTTTGTTGGGCGCGACCGGCGCCTCGCACAGCACAGCACTGCCACGGGTCAGTCGCCCCTGGTTGTCGCGGTGCGACGGTGAAGAGTAGGCCCAGCAGGCGTCGTGGCGAGCTCGCTGGCCATCATCACCGACGCGGCCCACATGCTGTCGGACGTCGGCGGGTTCATCGTGTCGCTCGTGGCCCTGAAGCTGTCCGCCCAGGCAGCCACGGCGGAGTACACCTACGGCTTCAAGCAGGCGGAGGTGCTGGGCGCGCTGCTGTCCATAGCCATCGTCTGGGCGCTCACGGCCGTGCTGCTCTGGGAGGCGGCCAGCCGCTTCCTGACCCTGACGGAGGTCGACGCCCCGGTGATGTTCGTCATCAGCGTGGTCGGTTTTTTCGTGAACCTCATCCTTATGAAGGTGCTGGGGCACGGGCACTCTCACGGCGATGGCGGCCACGGCCACGGCGACCACGGCCACGGTGACGGTGGCCACGGCGGTTGTGATGGCCACGGGGGTGCGCAGGGTGAGAGCAATAGCGTGGCCGTGCAGGCTGCTATGGCCCACGTCATCGGTGACATCGTGCAGTCTCTTGGTGTCTGCCTCGCTGCCGGCCTCATTTGGTGGCAGCCGTTCGACGTGGGCCTCGCGCCCAGCGGCGTCAGCCGCTGGAACTACGCCGACCCTCTCTGCACAGTGCTCTTCGGAGTTCTCGTGCTGCTCACCACGAAGGGCACGCTGGCGCGCACGGTAGACACCCTCATGGCCAAGGCCCCAGTAAACATGCAGCAGGACCTGCTGCGGCAGCTGAGCGCCATCGAGGGCGTCGTGCAGGTCCACGACCTGCACATCTGGTCCCATGGGTCCTCGGACGTCATCGGCACCGCCCACATAGTTGTGTCCGCCGAGAGGCACGCGCACACGGCGCTGCAGCAGGCGGTGAAGGTGTCGAAGAGCCTCGGAGTGGGCCACACCACCTTCCAGATCGAGGCCGAGGGGCAGTTCGCCGACGGCGAGACTTGTGGGGCCGACTGCTCCCCGCGGGACCCCGCCGCCAAGCGGGGCGCCCACAGCGCGCACGGGCACGACGGCGGGCACGCGCACAGCAAGGGCCACGGCGGCCACGACGCCGGCCACGGCGGCGGCTGCTGCGGCGGGCACGCGCACTGAGATTCGCGGCCGCCATGGCGCGTCCGTGGTGGGAGGGAGGAGGAGGAGGTGGAGGAGGAGCAGGAGGAGGAGGACGAAGAGGAGGAAGAGGAGGAGGACAAGGAGGAGAAGGATGAGGAGGAGGAGGAGAGGGATTGCGGGAGGAGGAGGAGGACGAGGAGGAGGAAGAGGAGGAGGGAAGGGGAAGGAGGGAGGCAGGGAGAACGATGAGGGGGAGCAGGAGGCGGAGGAGGAGGAAGAGGAGGAGGAAGACGAGGAGCAGGAGGAGGAGGAGGACGAGGACGAGGAGGAGGAGGAGGAGGAGGAGGAGGAGGAGGAGGAGGAGGAGGAGGAGGAGGAGGAGGAGAGAGGCAGGGAGGGAAGGAGGGAGAGAGGGAAGGACGGAGGGAGGGTGCACCACTATTTCGAGCACGTCGGGACTTCACAACACGCCGAAGACCAGCACCGCGGGGTCGAGCAATGCCACGGTGCCCAGCGCCAGCTCGAACACGAGCACCACAGGACCGAGCAGTACGTCGGATACGGGCACGACGATAACGAGCAGTACCACGGTGTCCAGCACCATGTTGAAGACCAGCCCGACGATAACGAGCAGTACCACGTTGTCCTGCACCACTCCTGCTTCCAACTCGTCCATTGGTGGCCGGCCGCATGGCTTCCGCATGACCGTATCTCGCGCGAGATGCTTGGCCGACAGCCGGACCAGAGTGCGCACGTCCTCCGGGGAGTTGTACTACCTTCACCACCCTCGCACCTGCGCCTTGAGCGCGGCTGGTCGGGGAAGGGGGCAGGGAGCAGCATCGGCGGGGCACGCCACGCTCCCAAGCCTCAAGACGCCAGCTTTGGCAGACACGTGCCCGACCAAGACCTTCCACGGCGTTGAGGCGGTGTACCAGCTGAGCTTGATGGCCCTCTCTGCGGTCGCCCACCCAGCAGTATGGATTCGTGCCGAGGTCGCTTCAGGGCCTCGGGGGCTGGCTGCCGTGTGGTATGGCATCTGGGCTTCCAGTGCCGGCAGTGGCATTACAAGCGGTCGTGGTCTGCTGCGGCGCGTGGCGACTTTCCATTGGGCCTGGAGGTGCTCTCGCATGGTCAATTGGGGTCCACCGGCCAGTGTGCGAGTTCCAGATGTGGAGTGTTCTTGTGGCCTGCGCGAGTGATACTTGGAGTGGCCGCCTTGGCTTGGCCTGCTTTCCCAGAAGCGGCCACGGCACCGGCGCCGCCACCGCCACGCGCCGAGCCTAGTCCACCGAGAGGGCGACAGACAGTTGCGTGTCACCGCCTGGACCGTCAGCGGCATGCCGAGCAGGCGCGGCGCTGTCTGTCTCGCGCCAGCTTGCCGGGGGCCCCTCGCGAAAGGGGACCTGCGACTGTGCTATCTTGGCGTGGCCAAGCCGGTGTACTACCATCCTACTTGCGTGGAGGGCGGTCCGGGGCTCTACGGCCACCTCTCGCCAGAACAGCAAATGAGATCCGGGGGTGCTGAGTCCGGCTTGGGTTGTCCATCTGGGCAGATTTCGTTGCAGACCACGGCAGGGCCAAGCGCGCGAGGACCGACTTCGAGACCGCCCGCGAGGCTGCTGCGCTAGGCGCGCCCCTGCTGGAGAAAGACGATGGGGTGCTGGGCCCTGTGCCCGAGGACCCCTCCAGCAGCGTGCCGCCCCAGCCAGCCAATTTGGAGTGGTGAAATTCGGTTGGATACGACGCCGTGGAGCAGTGCGTCCCCGCAATTGAAACAGGCGCCAGCGAACGCGAGCGCAGCTTTGGCCCAGCTCCGCGGACACGTGGCCGCACAGCTCCTGTTCGCGAGGGCCGCTGGCGACGTTGGGCTCAAGCCCAGGCGGAGAAGGCTTTCTCGTTTTTCGACGGAGTGCTTCTCTTCTTGCCTGGAAAGACTCGCGGGGGCCAGAAGACGCACAACTCCCATGGCCTGACCCGGATCCTGACGCGACCAATGCGGATGGCTGAGCAGGAGGACTGGGGGGGGCTCTTGCGAGAATCCAGCGCGACTGCCAGCCGCGGGCCGAACACAGTGGGCAGCGCCTCGACGGCCAAGCAGGACGCGCGAATGGTGGAGGCGCTGCTGGACGAGCACCTCATCAGCAAGGCGATGCAGCGTGCCCTCCGCTCCAACGCGCTGACCTCCGGGCCTGGCGCCCAGGCGCCCAGGCCGGCCCGCAGAGCTTCTTGCCAGAGGGGCCAGAGCAGCGTCTCTTGGAGGCGCCGACAGCGCCAGACGACGAATTTCGCGCAGCCCTGGCCGCGGCCGCGGCCAACAGCGCGGCAAATCGCCCGCGCCGCTCTGGACCAGGTCCAAACGGCAGCCGCTTTGATCACTGGCGCTGTTGGCCGACACCCCTGCTCTAGAGGCGGTGGCCAGGTTTGCAGTCGCCTTCTTGCTCGGCGAGCTCAGCCCCGCGGCGACGCGAGGCAGCTTGGGCGCCCGCTTGCTGGCCCAGCGAAAGCGGAACGGGACCCTCCGGCCGATTGCCTGCGGCTCCGCCCTCGCGGCGAGGGCCGCCCGCGATGTCTACGAGGGCGAGGTGCAGGGCGCAGTCGGCCCCCGCCAGTGCGCCGTTGGCCGCGCGGCCAGGCGCGAGCTCGCGCGCAGGTGTCTCGCGGCCCTCTCGGAGGCTAGCCCGCTTGGGGTTGCCCTGGCGTTCGACTGTTCCAACGCCTTCAACGGCGCCCCCAGCGACGCGGCGCTGGTCGGCGCACGTCGGCGCGCGGGAACCATGCAGCACTACTGGCGGGGCGACCTCGCCGACGACGCCCGCCGCGTTCGGGGGCCGGCAGCGGCGTGGACCAGGGGCGTCCGCTCTCGTCGGCGGCCTTCGCAATCGGCACTGCATGGGCGATGTCGACGCGCGCCCCTGGGCTCTTCGACCTCTTACAGGCACCTCAGCCAATTATACTTCGACGACATCATGGTCTTCGCCCCGCCAGAGCACGCGGGCGCAGCCATGCGGGTCTTCGCCGACGCTTTCGCGCGACGTGGCCGCGCAGTCAACCAGGCGAGGGCGCGCGCGTGGCCCGCTGGAGGACGCGGCCACTTGCCAGCCGCCGTCGAGGGGCGCCGGGCGGCTGCCCACGCTGGGTTGGACGGGGCCAGGGCCGTGGCCGAGGCAGCGGCCTTGGCTGCCCGCTTGCAAGAACTGCGACAGGCAGGCCTCCGAGCTGGGAGCGCCTTCACGCTTCTCCCGAAGTTCGCTCGCGGATGCGTCGCGCGCCGCCTCCGCGCCGACCCGCGGGGGGGCTGAGCGGCCGGGCGGAACAGCTTGGCCGAGTCCTCTTCGGCTGCCTCGAGCAGCTCGCCGGCGGGCCCTTGGGTGCCCAGCAGCGCCTCCAAACCGCCCCGAGCCTTGCTGACGGCGGGCGCGCGCCCGCCGCCTGCGCCGCCAGCCGGGCTCTCCTGCTCCGCGACGTCGCGGCCTGCCTCTGGGCCAGCTCGCTGGAGGAATGTCCGGGCCCGCTGCCCGCGGACGCAGCGGGCGCTCGACCAGGCGGAGGCGGCGCTCCAGGCGGCCGACGTGCTATAGGCGCCCTCGGACGGGATAGGCGGCGTTGCAGAGCCACGACCGAAGTTGCAGGGGCACTGGCGCGAGGCTGCCTCCGCGGCCAACAAAGAGAAACTGCCGCGGTCGCGCGACGAGGGCCACCGCCTGCATTTGCGGGAAAACGGCGGCGCAGAGGCCGGCAGCTGGCTCCTCCCGCGCCAGCCAAACGACCCCCGCAAACCTGATTCGCACTTCTATGGCAACCTCGAGCGCCGGCCCTGCGCCCCGACCCGCCCGCCATAATCCCGCTGTCAGCGCCGCCGCCTGGGCGGGAGCTTCTGCAGCGAGCCCTTGGGCCTGCGCGGCTCGGGCGCGGTCGAGGGCGAGGTGCGCGCGTCGGGCAACAACCGCCGCAACAGTTGCCGCGACTGACGCTCGGCGAAGCACGCGGGGCTTCGCGGCGCACTCGGAGCAGGCCGCCCCGGCCTGGGGTCGCCGCTACCCCCGCGCGGCGGAGCTCCAACAGGCGGTGCCCGACCTCCGCCAACGACCTGGCCAGCGGCCACCAGATCTTCATTGACTGGAGCATCGCCTGCGCGCGCTCAACCTACCTACGTTCCGCGCAGGGGTGCCCGGGCCGAGAAAGATGGACTGGCGGCCGCCCGGGCGGTGGAAAGGCAGCGGGAGCGCTACCCTCCGCGCGGAGGAGAAATTGCCCCCCCCATTCTTCGAGACGGGGGGCCAGCCCAGTGACGAAGCAGCCAGCTTTGTCCGCAGCTACGGAGCCGGCTCAGACGACGGCGACCGCTCCGAGCTGCCGGGCGGCTTCTGGCGGCAGATCAGCAGGACTTTCTAAAGAGGGAGTGTTGCTGAACGCGCTCGGGCGTTAGGCCAACAGGACGACGACAACAAACACCTGCAGGGCACCCGGCGCGACCGTCGCCAGCACCGTGACCGCGACGACCGCCAGCGCGACAACCACCGCGATCACAGCCACCACCACGACCACCACCAGCGGCAGCGCGACGAGCACCACGACCGCCCCGACCGCCTCCGCCCCCCGCCGCCCGTCCGCGACGACCGCCAGCACGACGACCACCACGACCGCCGCCAATGCGACCACCGCTAGCGGCGGCAAGACTTTCACCACGACCAACCAGGACTGGGTTCGCGATCGCACCGCCGACGCCGCGGAGCTTCCGGGGCCGCGGCTAGGGGGGGAGGGGGGGGCGGGACGGAGGGAGGGAGGGAGGAGAAGGCGGAGGACGAGGAGGAGGGGGAGGAGGATGAGGAACAAGAGGAGGAGGAAGAGGGCCAGTGTAAACCCAGGAATCGACCCTCCGTCCAATCTTCCTTTCGTAGTCCTCTACAGCGGCATGTTTCCACTGAGGGAACTGCGTCGTTGAAAGAAAACCGTGTGAAGACCCTGGAGCATGCCAAAGCATTGTTTTCGGGATTCTATCGCCACGGGTCAACCTGATTGCTGCGTCGTGACGATCCTGA